GAACCCCCACCCCCCCCCCCCCCCCCCCCCCCCCCCCCCCCCCCCCTGGCACCATGGCGCGCTGGCGCTCAGACGGCGCCGGAATCCCGCTGTCTGTCCTCCCTCCCGGTGCATGTCTCGTTTGGAGGAGGGGACAGACGGGCAACAGGCAGGGCCCTCCGCCGCCCTCTCACGCACACGCCCACCGCGTCGCACGAGACATGCACTTCACCATACCCAGAGCAGTATGTATTTTGGGGCAAGGCACCAACAGAGGCACGTGCGAGTAAGAAGGGCAGGGAGAGAGGGAGGGCACACAAACATGGAAGGCGGTACGCCGACAACAACCTTCCTTCCTCGGCCCCTCCCACCTCTTGCACGCACTTCCGCCCTTCTGGCGCCTCTCCGCGCCACGCCCTACTCTCCCCCGCCTCCCGGGCTGGGAGAAGAGAGAGAGGGAGAGACGCGGGGAGGGAGGGACACAAGGTGGTGCCAAGAGCAGCAGGGGGGGCCTTGGTGTGCGGTGCCGGGGGCGAGGATCAACACGCCAAACGGGCGGGCGCGCGGGAGGGGGGAAGGGGGGATGTCCACAGCCGGAAGGTGAATGTGCCTCCGTGCTGCGGGCGTCTCTCTCTCTCTCGGAGAGGAATGATGCGTGTGAGACACATCCTCCCTCCACAGCACTGCCCCGCGCGCCGGCAGCCGCCTGCCGCACGCACATGAATGCGCATGAATATGCTCGAGCCCCGTCTCTCCCCCCCCCAGCCCCCGGGCCTGGCGCCTCCCCCGTCCCGCGCCCTTGCTCCATATCACCCTTTTGGTGGCACACACACATGCATGCATGCATGCACACCCGGCCAAAACACACCCCGACCAGCCGCGCGCGCGCGCGCAAACGACAGAGGAAGAGACACACAACAGAGGGGGAAAAGGGTACCCACACACGGACGAGCACACGTGTACACACGCACACATGGGCAGCACCGCCGGCATTCTGCTACTGCCCCCCCCACCAGGGAGGAGGGAGAGGAGAAGGAGAGCGTGCGCTACACATGTGGGCGTGTGAGTGCGTGCACGAAAGTGCGAGGACGTTTAGTAGCCGGCCTCAGAGAGGTAGTCAGCCATCTTGAGGATGGCGACGTTGGCGTTACCGGGGGAAACACCATCACCGTAGGTGCCGATGATGACGGCGCGGTCGGTCTTGGCGATGACGGCGCCCTCCTTGCCCTGAGAGGAGCGTCGTGAGGAGAGTCGACGAGGCGGGGGGACAGGGGGGAAGAGAGAGAGAGTGGAGGGAATCGAGGGTCAGATACGAGGGAGGAGGGGGGAGGCTGGCGAACCAGCCACTAGACCCTGCGCAGAGGGGGGGCGGAGGAAGAGCCAGCAGAGGCGCGAGGGGGGGTGGCAATGCGGACGGGGCCGCCAACAAAAAGCGGAGGGGGATGGCATGCGCGCGCACCTTCTTCAGGAAGACGGACTTGTCCTCGAAGCGGAGGAGGATGTAGTTGACGCCAGCCAGGTTGACGGTACCGGTGGTGTTGGAGCCGTTCATGGTGTCGAGGGCAGCCTTGACCTCAGCGGGGGTGACGTTGAAGCCGGAGGAGGTGGCCCAGACGGAACCATCATGGCCGTGGATGGCGGCCTGGGTGATGTCCTTGCTGGAGAGGATGGAGGTGATGTACGAATCCCAAGACATGATTACTGTTTATCGGCGGGGGCGGACACCAGGGCGCCGGGCGGCGGGAAGTGAGGGGGGAAGGGGGGGGAGCGGGTGTGTTAGACAAAGGGGGAGGGGGAAGGGGCACGCAAGGGGGGGAGAGGAGGGGGTCGGCCGCCCCGAAGATGGGGAGCACGGGTGGTGGTGGTGGTGCAGCAGCGGGCGGGCGGGGGAGAGCAGGAGGAGGAGGAGGAGGAGGAGGAGGAGGAGGAGGAGGAAGAGGCACAAACCTTCGGTAGAGAGAGAATGAATGCAACTAAGAAAATATCAGAGCGGCACTGTGTGTTCAAAATGCTCTCGCCCGGGAGCGAGCGGGGCGCTCTTAAAAACCCCTTTCCCTGGGAGGGCGGCGCGTGAGAGGGGAGGCAGGCGGCGGCCCCGGCCCGTACACCGCTCTACCCCCCCCCCCCCCCCCAGGGGCGAAGGTACCCCCGCAGAGTGCGGTCTCCCCAGGGAGAGCCGGGCGGGCGGCGAGGGCGGACGCACACAGACAAGCGCGTCTCCCCCCCCCCCCCCCCCCCCCCCCCCCCCCCCCCCCCCCCCCCCCCCCCCCCCCCCCCCCCCCCCCCCCCCCCCCCCCCCCCCCCCCCCCCCCCCCCCCCCCCCCCCCCCCCCCCCCCCCCCCCCCCCCCCCCCCCCCCCCCCCCCCCCCCCCCCCCCCCCCCCCCCCCCCCCCCCCCCCCCCCCCCCCCCCCCCCCCCCCCCCCCCCGCCGCCGCCGGCCTGTGCCCGCCCGGGCGCAGCGCCCACACACAGAACTACCAGCGTCTCCCCCCCCCCCCCCAGGACGGTGGGACCGGCACACGGCGCACAAACCACAGGGCTGAAACAATCTCCCGCCTGGCTGCCGAGAGGGGGATTCACAGCAGGCCGATCGCCGTGAGCATCATGGCAGGAACCGATTCCAGTAGGGTCGGCACACAGTCGAGCGGGCCGGTATGCATTCCCCCCGGCGGCCCTGGCGCATTCCTAGCTCCCCCGCCGGATGCGCGAGAGGCCGGGTCGGGTCGGGCGGGGGGCGCGGGGGACCGGCGGGCAGGGAGCAGGCCGCAGCCCCGCCCGGGCGGAGGAAAAAAAACGAACACCGGCGCGCATGGTAGATACACAGAGAGAAAGAAAGAAAGAGAGAGAGAGAGAGAGGGGGACACGCACGAACAGGCACGCCCATACACGCCCCGCCCCGCCGACGGGGCCTGTCCACGGGGGGCGTCGCCCCTCGAACGACACGTCCCGGCCCCTGGGGCGAAAGGGCATCGAGCGAGAGGTGCGCCCACATGCCGCGCGCGCGCGCGCTGACACTCAGAAACTGGAAGAAGGCCCGGGGCGAGGGGAAAATCCGCGGCCCGGCCAGCGCCCTCCCCCGCCCCGCCCCGACCAGCTGTCCGGCGTCGGCCGCTAGACAACAAGGCCCCAACCGGCTGGCTGGGACCCGGCCCCGTCTGCCCTGCCCCGGGACACGGAAACATCCGCCACCGCCCCGGCCCCCCCCCCCCCGGGAGGGGCAAACACCGGGAATACCTACCCCTCGGAGCGGTCACTCGAACCCCCGCCCGGGCCGTGCGATCAGGCGCTCGGGTCGCATCTCGCGCGGGTGTCGGCGCCGGGGCGTCTGCGCAGGCGGCCCCCGCCGCGCGCGCGCGCGCGCGCGCCCCTCACTGGCGCTGAACCCGGCGGCAGGGCGCCTTTGGTGGTATGTGCGGGCGCGGTGCCGGCGGGGAGGGGGGATTTTTCCGACCCATGGTGAATTCCACACCAAAGAGGAATGGCTCGGGCGCGGGCCGAACCGCGTCCCCGCCCACCCGCGCCCCCTTGGCCGCTGGCCCTCCCCTGGCGGCCCGGCCCTCGGCTCGCGCCCGCGCAGGGCCGGCCGGCCCTGCTCCCCCGCCGGGACAGAGTAGCCCCCGACCTAAATGACCGGGGGGGGGGGCATGTTTGTTCCCGCCTTGCCCCCCTCGGGAAGGGGGGGGGGGGGGCGCGCGCGCGCGCGGATGACCGCGGGGGCCAGGCGCCGGAACCAAGGGCATGCCCGGCGCGGCCCCGACACATTGGGGCATCTGCCCTCCTGCCCGGGCCTCTGACCTTGGGTCTGGCGGCCGCCCTCGGCAGGCGCCCGGCCGGGCGCGAGGGCGAGGCGACGCACGCCCGAGCTGGTGCGGTGCCGGGCCTCGCCCGACCGGAGCACAGGGAGAGGCCGGGATGCAGGGTGCCCCGGGGCAAGAGGGGGCAGTGGCAGCGGACCACCGCACAACGCCGTGGCGTAGACGACCCCCCCCCCCCCCGCCGCCGCCATGGTGTGAGTGGCGAAGCAAGGGGGCAGAAAGCCGGTGGCCCGAGCAGGAACGCGCCCAAACACACACACACACACATACACCAGAGGGCGACACGCATCCCCTCCCCCCGATCGCGCGGGTTGCCCGAGGCCACGGTAAGGGGGCCCCCAGCCGGCCCTGTGGCGAAGATGCCAGACCGTGCTCGACCTGCAGCCCATCCCCCCCCCCCC